TTCTCTTGAGATGGCACTTTATTGAAGACACGTTCACTTGACATCAAGCGGAGACCCCCACTGCAACAGCCCCGAGTCTCACGCGCATCTCCCCCTTTTATACCAACACGAGGCCACGCTCCCCCTTCTGGATCATTCTCGTTGACTCTGGACGCTCGCTCCACCGGCAGACTCCACCGTCCTCTTCCGTCGCCTGACCACGCTCCCTTCTCGAACATTCCCGTAGCCACCAGTCCCTTCGCACTCACAACTGACTCCCCTGTCATTACCTCCCGTAGCCACCAGTCCCTTCGCACTCACAACTGACTCCCCTGTCATTACCTCCCGTAGCCACCAGTCCCTTCGCACTCACAGCTGATACCCCCGTCATTACCTCCCGTGGCCACCAATCCCTTCGCACTCACAACTGACTCCCCTGTCATTACCTCCCGTAGCCACCAGTCCCTTCACACTCACAACTGCTTCCCCGTCCCTTCACACTCACAACTGCTTCCCCGTCATTACCTCCCGTAGCCACCAGTCCCTTCACATTCACAACTGATACCCCATCATTACCTCTCGTGGCCACCAGTCCCTTCGCACTCACAACTGATTCCCCCGTCATTACATCCCGTAGCCACCAGTCCCTTCACACTCACAACTGACTCCCCTGTCATTACCTCCCGTAGCCAGCGGTCCCTTCACACTCACAACTGATTCCCCCGTCATTACCTCCCGTAGCCACCAGTCCCTTCACACTCACAACTGATTCCCCCGTCATTACCTCCCATAGTCACCAGTCCCTCACAACTGATTCCCCCGTCATTACCTCCCGTAGTCACCAGTCCCTCACAACTGATTCTCCCGTCATTACCTCCCATAGCCACCAGTCCCTTAACACTCACAACTGACTCCCCTGTCATTACCTCCCGTAGCCAGCGGTCCCTTCACACTCACAACTGATTCCCCCGTCATTACCTCCCGTAGCCACCAGTCCCTTCACACTCACAACTGATTCCCCCGTCATTACCTCCCGTAGTCACCAGTCCCTCACAACTGATTCCCCCGTCATTACCTCCCGTAGTCACCAGTCCCTCACAACTGATTCTCCCGTCATTACCTCCCATAGCCACCAGTCCCTTAACACTCACAACTGACTCGCGTTGAGAAAACGCGCGGCCGTCATAGCAGAACGGGCTGTGTCTTACGGAGTAAAAAAAAACAAGCCTCAAAGACAGCTCCTGCTTAAGGTTCTCGTGGTTCATTTGCTGAAGAAGCTCCCACCCAGCACGTGGATGAAAAAGGTGAGGGCATTGGTCCAAACGACATGCGGCACGACCCCAAAAAAACATCGTGAGGGCCTTCAAAGGAATCCGGTTGTCTCGCGGTTTGCACCCAAAGTCTGCGACGACGACGACACTGAATCAATGCACAGGGGCGGCGGTGTTTGCCCAAAGGGCTCGAAAAATTCCTGCCTCGCTCGGAGCGGGAATGTTGACGCAGTCGGGGCCAAATCTGGAGGCTTGCGCCGCATCAACCGCGTCTTTCAGTGGCTTTCTGCTACCGTGCGTGCGGCTAAACTGGCCCCGAAATAAAGGTGCGGTTACATTTGGAGTCTCCGGGGAAATTAGATGGCAGCATGAGCCCCAGTGGATTGCCCAAGTGTGTTATATACATGTATATGTTGTTGAGCATTATGGGTAAAATCATATTTTATCAGCCGAGCCTGTTCGCCCATTTGCCTTGCACATCGACCGCAAATACGAAGGAGACGTCGCAGCGATGATGATGATGATGATATACTACTCCCCCTGAATGTGATGGTGGTCGTTGCTCTGCATCTTCTCCATCAGCCGTACGAAGGAGAGAAGATGACCAATTCGCCTCGCTTATTCAGAATTTTTATATTAAAGCTTTCGTGACTGCAGGGATTCATCTTCTTGGTTCTTTCGGTAAAGTCACGTAGAAGGGAAATAATAAAATAAAACATAATAAAATACAATTCTCACGACGTTTCGTGCCACAACGCAAGCACATGAGGACGGCTGCTTGCATTGTGGCCGAAACTTCGTGAGAATTATTTTATTATGTTTTATTTTTATTATTTTATTATTTCCCTTCTACGTGACTTTACCGAAAGAACCAAGAAAATATCCAGAAGCTCGCTTAAGCGAAAGCTGCCCGGATGATGTTGGTCTGGAGAGCCAATAGGCCGAATGGGACCATAACGTACGCTTCATGTTTCAGTCGTCTTTTTAGTTAAACCAGGTGAGGACTCAAGAGAGACCAGGATGGGAGTCTCATTTGCAAGAGCGACCCCCAGGTAATCGAAATGACAAAAGCAAACTTGTATAAAGTACAGCGATGACGCAAATAGGAATCGGACCAAAAACACACAAACAACTGTGTCGGCAAAAATGCGTATTTATATGTGGAGACGCAGAACATCGTTTGACGTGTATACAACCCCCAAGAACACGCCACCCTTGGGGGGGGGGGGGGGGACGCCGCTGATGTGTATGTACGGCGAACTTCTTTACTCAACGTACGTAGCCAACCGCGCGAATCGGTGCAGGGGGAAGGACGGCAAACTGAACACACAAGAAGCAGTTCTAAAGAAGTGAGTTTTAAATCTTGATCCAAAAGTCCATAGCTCCCAGTGGCTTTCCTTATATCGGAAGGAAGACACTTTCCAGACGGCCGCAGAAGCGCCGTGTGACGACGCGGTAACCACCGTCTTTTTTCGACGGCTTGGACAAAAAATGTGAACCTCTACGTGGCCACGCTTGTGGCTGGAGAGGCATGAGGGGTGGGGGGGACTGCATTTCTCACACTCTGTTGACCCAGAACCGAGCGCGTAGTTCACACAGCTGCGATGGTGCCCAGTGAGGTAATGTTTACCTGTTATAAATACCGTCACTATACATAGACGTTTGTGTGTATATAGATATATATCTACTTATGAACGAGTTAGGTTCCAGAGATTTGTTCGTGAGTCCAACTTTACTCCTGTCGATTCCAAACGTGTTGTACGGCGTGTACACTAAACACGGTGAATGGCTTTAAAAGTTGTATCATCTCCTGCAGATGTAGATGCCACTGGTTCTTCACGTTCTGCAGATGTGGATGCCACTGGTTCTTCACGTTCTGCAGATGTAGATGCCACTGGTTCATCATGTTCTGCAGACGTAGATGCCACTGGTTGTTCACGTTCTGCAGATGTAGGTGCCACTGGTTCTTCATGTTCTGCAGATGTAGATGCCGCTGTTCTTCACATTCTGCAGACGTAGATGTCACTGGTTCATCATGTTCTGCAGACGTAGAATGCCACTGGTTCTTCACATTCTGCAGATGTAGATGCCACTGGCTCTTCACGTTCTGCAGACGTAGAATGCCACGGTTGGCTATGTTCAGCGCGAAAGAAGTTCAACGCGCGTACACGCGTCAAACAAAAATCGTGATGCTGCATTGGCGCAGTGGTGCACGAGCACAAACGAAACAAACTCGCGACGCTCATCAACAACGCCGTGGTCCCAAAAAGAAACAAACCGGTACAATCGGCAACTATATAATTGACAAACGTGTGTGCACCAATACCAGCGCAGCAGCAGCAGCATTACCAAACCATTTACGTGCGAGTAGATATTTAGTTCCAAACAAACCCTGCAAAAGAAAAAAGTAAACTACCCAACTCATTCGTAAGTAATTTAGATAATTTGACTTTCTTATCAACAGTGGATGGAAGAGCATTCCAGTGAAGCTGGCGTGTGTTTCTCCCTTTAAACGATGCGTGTTTTTTTCAAGCCCCATCCCGTTGCATTTGCGATTTCAACATGGCAGAAATTTGGCGCCCCTTGGCTGATTTATTTTTAAATCCTTTATATTAAGTTCACTTGCTTGCTTCCGCGCTTACGACCGTGCAAATCTTTCGGTCGTTTTTTAACCCACTTCCCGTGATTCAATCGAGCTGACATTTTCCACACAGACTCGTTGTGCGTGACAATTCATTTTCGTGAAAATTTTTTTCCAAAATGTTACACTTTTTAGGAAAAAAAAAAGATATTTAATTACCAATTGCTTAATGGTGCCAGGCAATCATCTGACCCATAGGTGGCAGCCATCTCAAGCCAGAGGACGAGAGGACTCTAGCCGCCACGCATATAAAGGATTTATAGTGAAAAACTTAGTTTTTACAGGTTAATTTTTTATCTCTTCCCCCTCGAATTTCCCCCTCCGACGCCTCCGCTGGAGCCACGATTCCAAATCGAGCCCGCATTGTCGTCTCGAGCGAGCCGTGTTCACCGGGCAAAAAGTCAGGAATTCCGTGCGGCGACGTTGACCCCGCTGCTACAACTTATCAACCCCTCCTCCCCCCGCCCGCTTTTTAGGTTTTTTTTTGTTTTCCCGCTCGGCAGTTTCCTGCCGGTCGCTCTGCCACGAATTGTTCTCTCCGCTCGTCGTCGTTGTTTTTTTTCCCGCCGGTTCATTGTTGTTCCTGTCGCGGTGTTTGACGCTCTGCCCGTCGAGAGTGGCGTTTCCTTGTTTTGTGTCGGTCACGAAGGATGCGGAATCGTCCGTAGCATTGAGATCAGTCGACCTGAAAATGCGGGGCCCACATTGCAAATGTTACCTTAAGCGCTGTATTTTGCACTCCCCCTCCCCCCCCAATCAATACATACCATGGGAAGGGGGGGGGGTATACTTCACCATGACAGTTCGTGCGCGTTGCATCACTGGGTCTGTGAGGTGGGAGGGGGAGCCAGGAACCGGTTGGAATCTCGCTTGGCTCGCCGATGTTAGCCGTCTCCGGGGGGATTGAGCTGGGGGGTGAGCGAGCGCTGTGCCCCACGCGCAACCCGTGGACGTCGCAGGTGAGCGATTCGACGTCGCGCGGCGCAAGGTGACGAACCGGAGACTGCTCGACGGAGGAGTCTCAGCGCCGTGACGTGAGCGCGCTCGCTTGCGCACCTCCGCGGAACGCGGTCCGTCGTGTTTTCTCTTTTTGCCCGTGCCGTGAGCAGAGTGGCGTCAGGCGGTGATGCTTGGCGCCATTGATTGCGCCGAGCAAGCCAACCAGAAAACCTGCCAGGAGTTCGAAGTTCGCTACTACCCCAGCATTCGGGTAAACGCTCACCCCCCTCCCCTCCCTCCTCACTCACTCGCTCCCTCCCCTGCACCCCCTCCCTCCACTCTCATCGTCCCTCCACGCTCACCCTCTCCCCTCCCTCCTCACTCACTCTCTCTTCACTCCCTCCCTCCCCTGCACCCCCTCCCTCCACTCTCACCGTCCCTCCACTCCCTCTCCTCCCCCCCCATCTCGGTCGACCTCTCCGATGATTCCCTCCCCTCTGTTTAAGTCCAGATTCAAGAGCTACCTTTCCGTGGCTCTGATTTCGACGGTGGAGCCGGCGGCGTGGGGTTTTAACTTTTTAGCGACGCCACGCAGCCGTACCCCAATGCCAGCGCGATCGGTTGTTGCCGTGTAGCCGCTGAGGTGTTTGTTTACTCAGTCACATATTCACTTTAAAATGTTTTTTGTTCATGTTTTGGTTTTTTGTTTGTTGCAGTTGCACCCGATTCAAGAGCCGAATGGCTCACAGGGTTATACCAAATAAATGAACTTGAACTTGAACGTGGTCGTGGTTTGTTGTTGTTGCTCTTTCTGATGTCGTTTTCCCTTCCAGTTTTTCCCACCCTTCTCCAACACCACGGACGTCGGTAAAGATCACTCCGGTGAGGGTCCGCGTCGTCGCGCATTTCGAGTTATTCGGCCGTTATAAAATTTCCACGTGATGACGATGACGATGATGAGCCGCTTCGTTGCGCTATCGTTTGTGATAGCCAGGCCGCTTGTGAAAAAGAGCTACGCAGCTCAGTGAGGCCTTGCCTGGTAAGATACATAGAGCATGCGTGTTGAACTTACTTCGCACCGTACGTAGCCAACCGTGCTAACACGTGCACATGCATACATACTTTGCAAGGAGAGCACTGCACGCGTACGCTTGAGTAAACATCCATCGTAACCGCCACCATCGGCCTCCCATCCTCCGCACTTCAACTAAAAGGCGACGGGGAGATGACATCGCAGTGATTCTAGACCGGATGTCCACAACAAGTTCAGGTTGGCTTGAAGGAATGCCCCTGTATTTATGAAGGTCCATGCGGGCTGATGAGCTCTATGTTTGGAGGCGCACGGGTGTGTAAAGGCGTGCTGTCTGCTTATTTACCTTGTCGCTTATTACATTCTCCGCGATGACCACGAGTGATTTAAAAAAAAAAAGGTCATCTCCGTTTGCTTTTGAGTTTCGATCGTCTCTCTCGCACGGCTCCGTCCCGTTCGCTTACATCGGCACGAAACGCGTATCGTCAACATCGGCGGCCACGATCGCTCCACTGCTGGATGAGGGCCTCCGCAAGCCCAGTGTGGGGCGGCGGTGTAACTTGTGTAAATTGGTAACGGGGTGTACGATGCGATTGTATCGTGTGCCGTGAGCATAATAATACATTCTCCCTATTTGCCTACCACGGTCTTTTGCCACGTGTGAGTTTATGGTAATAAAGGCGTACTCGGGGCGAGCTCCTACCCAGATAGACGCCCTCCTGAGAAAAGGTTTTGACCAAACAAGCCAATGCACCGTGTGGGAACCTGTGCTGCTGCGGTTTGCGCACCCACGCGAGGCCCAGGTTCGATTCCCTGCCATGGCTGACATTCCGTGGCGATTGATATCTGGGCCGGATGCTGGGCCCTCCCGCCCTCAAACGAGCACCAGGTGCTGTAGCTGGGGGCGGGGAGACAAAGGTGGCTGGCCCCCCCGACGGATCGTGAGAGAGGGAGCGTACGCGGACGGGGTGCGGCGCGGGGGGAGACACCCCGCTGTGTGTTTTTGTGTCGCCACACAGACCGGGAGCGCACCGTCCCGGGGCTGCGACGCAAGCTCGTGGACTTCCTTGAGAAGCAGGAGGCGTTCAGGCCTTCCCTCGCGGCCGTCAAGTGAGATTCTGAGAGTCTCTGAGGACTGCCCTGCTCCATTTTTAAAACGACGACAAAAATCACATTGATCGTTTGAGTTTGGCGCTCATCTCCTGTTCACGCCACCCCCACCCTGACCACTGAGTCAGGAATGGAAATTCCACATTTCTATGGCGTAGGCCGGGCAGGCTTTTGGTTTAAAAAAAAAAAGTGAGCCATGTCTTCGTTTTTACTGGTAGGAACCTCCTGGTTACACCAGCCCACAGGGGATTATTGTGTCCGTCCGTCGTGCATCCAAAAATCGGAGGGGTCGGGCTGGGTGGAGAGGGGAGAGTGGGGAGGGGCTGGGTGGGGAGGGGAGGGTGGGGAGAGGCTTAGTGGGGAGGGGCTGGTCACCCCGTGGTGCCCTTATAAAACTCAACGTTTAACCTACTCACGCCGGCTTGTGCCCGCCCTCACAGTCGGCCATATTTGCGGAATACACCACGCCGCCGTTGACCCTGGCCATTGACCGAGCAACCCAATGTTCCTACCAGCTCCCTCCGCAGGAATGTGTTTAGTTCACTGAGATTTTTGTCATGCAGAGTGGCTGCTGCTGTTTCTTGTACAGTGCTTTGAGATCCTTGATGAAAGTCAATTTATAAATAGCATTAATATTATTGTTAGAACTTGATAGCTTCATGAATTCCGAACGGAAATGTGTTCTGTCTCATCGCAGCACGATGCCGACAAAACAGCAAGTTCATAAAACAAATTTAAAAAAAAAACTACTAAGATGAGTGCACCAATGTGCGTGTACAATTATTTTTGCGTGCGCGTGTGTGTGTATTGGGAGCGGTAGTGTAGCGGTTAGCGCATTGCACTACGAACCCGGCGACCCGAGTTCGATTCCCGCTCACGGCCAACACCAGTGACGATTATCTGAACCGGTCCCGAGCTTCCCCTAGGTCGACTCGGCCTCAAATGAGTGACTGATGCGGTGCGTAAACATCGCCACTGACGAGACAAAGGCGACCGGGCGTGGTGCTGGCCACCCACCCCCTTGTGTGCCGTTCCGGCCTTTATAGGTGCTCGCTAACAGCACTTGCCCCAACAGTCTGTTAAGGCTATACGGGGGGGTGGGCGGTGGTGGATCTTTGTCTTTGCATATTGGGGAGCGACAGTGTAGCGGTTTCTGCTCGCCGCGCTTTGAAGCCAGCGGCGCAAGATCCATTTCCACTCGTGGCACAACATCGGCGACGAACCTCTTTCGATTGTCCCGGCGCTCTGCCTCGCTCTGCGGGGAGGAACATCACCGCCGCTTGCTTGTTTGTGTGAGCAGCGAGGCCGAGGTGGATTCCCTGCTGAAGGGGATGGAAGGGGGACCCCTGGCGGGCGGCTACCTGGCGCTGGTCTTCGAAGACGACACCTCCTACGTGGGCAGGGAGGTAGGTCCAGGGGCGCGCGCCAAACCCACCGTTGTCCCGGTCGTGGTTGCCAACACGAGCGTAATTGTGTACAGCTCTTGACACCTGTGCTGCGTCCTCTACCGTGGTGGCGAGATGTTCTCTTCCTCGCCTGGAATGCAGGAGGTTTGGGGGTGTTCATTTATTAATTTGTTCACCATTGCATTTGAACGTGCATTCGTTCGACTGCCAATGTTCGTTACCTCACCTGGTATACAGGAGGTCGTGGGTTCGATCCTGCTGTATATTTGGAGTTTGCGTGTCGCTCTCTTGCCGGTGGTCGTGTGGATTTTTTTCCTCCGGGTCCTCCGGTTTTTCCCTCCATATTTCGAAATATGCATTGAGATTATTTAGATTATTTTGGTGCTATAATGTCCAAATGATGAGTCACTTTGTTGAGGTATCATTTGTGGCCAGGTTGCTTCTGAAAAATAAGTGAATGCCTCAGTGGGCTTTGCCTGGTAGGATGGGGGATGGTTTAGTTTTATTTGTGTGCGTTTGGGTGATGTATTTACCTTTCTTGTGCAGCACTACCGTCGTGTTTTTGTGCTGTTTGTTGTTGTAACGCTCTTACCCGCCCCGACTGGGCAGCTGTATAAATCAATATTCTGATTCTGTTGAAGAATTTGCATTGAAGGATTTTAGAGTAATTTGGCTGCTATACATCTTCCACAAGATGCCGCTTCATTGGGCTATCATTTTCGGCCCAGGCCGCTTCTGAAAAAAAGCTACGTAACTCAGTGGGCCTTACCTGGCGAAATAAAAAAAATAAAAAGTTTGTTTAGTTTATATATTTGGATGGCATTTAAACCATTCAAATGTGCTGCTGCGGTGTAGCCAAATTAGATGCGACTAATCCGTCAAATTTGGCAGTGGCACAGTGGTTAGCTTCTAACACTATTAACCCAACAGACTCCCACTCGCCACAGCTAACGCCAGTGGCGAGTGATATCACACCAAGCCCTGAGGCTTCCCCTTCTTTGTCGCTTTCTTAAATGAGCACCTTCAGCCTTGTTGTTATATAGGTACGTGATGGGACATGAACACATCAGCACTCGATAGGCAAACGGTTGGCTCTATTGGAACCTCATTTGCCAGTAAAAAATATGATAATTGTTTTTTTACCCTTCTATCTGGCAACATAAGGTGTCAGTTATGTTGCCAGATAGAAGGGTAAAAAACCAATATCAAACGGTTGGTTACATACGTTGCGAAGGAAGTTCAGCATACAATGCGGCTCGGGCGTGGTGCTGGCCACCCTGCTCCCTAGTCTGCCGTGCCGGCCTTAATCATAATCTGTATTTGTACTGGAGGAATCCGATGAGCTATAAAGCTCTTTTTCACACACGTCCAGTAGGGGCACGGGGTTAGAACGCTACAACAGCAAACAATACAAAAACACGATAGGCGTGCAAAGTATAGGTAAGGTAAGCAAACCGCCTTGCCTGCAACAGTCCGTTAAAGGCTACATGTCTCTGTGCTCTCACAGGTGGTGCTGGATATGTTTGGCTACAGACCTCTGGTGGTGCGGCGAGTTCGCGCGTCCCGGGAACCCGGCCTGGTTCAGCGCTTCAGCGTCACCGACCTCCCCTCGTGCATCCTCATCCGTGGAGAGGGCGGGTGGGAGCGGCTTGCCGTGTGAGCATCGCAGCTACGGCGCAGGCACACGCACGCAGGCACGCGCGCAGGACACGCACGCAGACACGCACGCAGACACGCACGCAGACACGCACGCAGACACGCACGCAGACACGCACGCAGACACGCACGCATGCAAGTGCACGGCATGGAACGAGGTGAGAGACACGCAAACTCCAAATATACAGCAGACGTCAAGGTCGGGATCGAACCCACGACCTCCTGTATACCAAGCGAGGTAGTTAACATCTCCTAGCCACCGTGATGATGAGAGAGAGAGAGACACGCAAACTACAAATATACAGCAGGCGTCAAGGTCGGGATCGAACCCACGACCCCCTGCACACCAGGCGAGGTAGTTAACATCACTTGCTCCCAACAGTCTTCTCGGGGTACACTGATGCTGATGGGTGGAGGGGGGAATCTTTGTTGCCTGCGTCTCTGCAGGGCATACCAGGTCCGGACGTTCTACACCTACGCGCTGCGGCAGCTGTCCTGGGGTGCAACGCAGCGCGCACGAATCCAGCCAGACGCTCCTCCCCAAGCCGCAGGGACGACTGGAAGCAGATCCCGAGCAGACCCCCTGGAGAGAATTTAACAGGTTTGCCACGAGCCCGGAGCGTGGTCTGCTAACAGCAGTTTTGCCACGTACAGGTTCAATTTCTCACACCACCAACACAGCCACCTCCGCACACCGATCTCTACGCGGCGGTGGCTCTGCGGTCTTACATCTAAGTTGTCTTGTGGTTGTTGTTGTTTGACTTGCATCCCACTGGGATTTTTGCACACAGTGTTGGTGTACGGTGCTTTTTCTGCAATATTTTTTTTAGATTTTTTGTTTGCACATAGTCACTTTAAGATGTTTTTTGTTCATGTTTTTGTTTGTTTGTTGCGGTTGCACCCGATTCACGAGCCGAATGGCTCACAGGGCTATACCTAATAAATGAAACTTGAAGTTAAAACTTGACATGCTCATCTCTCACATTAACATAGCCACCTCTGCGAGCTTGCCGTGGAGGCCGCTCACCGATCTTACATTAACATGCTAATTGTTACCTGCAGCCCTTTAATTGGTGGAAACCCACAGCCATCGAGGTCGCTGTCCATCACTTACATTGACATTAGGTGCCCCACCCATGCTGCTGACATTTGGGCTAAGCCCATTTGAAACCTTTATAAACAGTTTGCCTTTAGAAGCTAACCCCCTTTTCCTGATGTTGCGATTGAAACGTCGTAGTTTTTTGTTATTTTCTTTGAACCTATCTTACGTGACTTTACCGAAAGAGCCAAGGATTAAGGTGCTGGGCTATCCTCTATAGTCGACTCGGCCTCAAGCGAGTACCTGGTGCGATCGTCTAAACTTCTCCACCAGGGAAACGAAGGCAGCCGGGGCGTGGTGGGTGCTGGTCACCCACCCGATCGTAGGTGCCCTGTGCCAGTCTTCATAGGTGTTCGCTAAACAACACATTCCTGCGGAGGGAGCTGGTAGAAACGTTGGGTTGCTCGGTCAATGGCCTGCAGGGTCAACGGCGGCGTGGTGTATTCCGCAAATATGGCCGACTGTGAGGGCGGGCACAAGCCGGCGTGAGTAGGTTAAACGTTGAGTTTTATAAGAGCACCACGGGGTGACCAGCCCCTCCCCTCCCCACCCAGCCCCTCCCCTCCCCACCCAGCCCCACCACTCCCACCCCCCACCCAATCCCACCCTCCCCACCCAGCTCCTCCCCACCCAGCCCCACCCTCCCCACCCCTCCCCACCAGCCCCCACCCAACCCCCACCCCTCCCCACCCTCCCCTCTCCACCCAGCCTCGACCCCTCCCATTTTTGATGCACGACGGACGGACACAATAATCCCCTGTGGGCTGGTGGAACCAGGTGGTTCCTACCAGTATAACAGCACTTTCCCCAACAGCCTGTTTAATGGCTATATGGGCGGCGTGGATCTTTGTCTTTGTGTGTGTGTGGGAACAGCTCATTGGTGTACATGTCCGACCTGGAGTCGGCGCTGCACTACTCTCTGCGCATTGAGGTGGCCAATCACCGCATCCTGGAGGGCAGTGCCCTCAGCGCCCTGAAGGATTACGCGCACGTGCTGGCCAAGGTGACGAGCCGGGCTGGCCCTCCCGCGTACATCGTGTGGACTCGTACAGGGTGCTGCTTAAAAACTATGTTAACACTTATACGGGGCTATCGTTTTTTATGGAAATAAATCGGATAATACACTGTAACATGATAAACACATTCCTGCGGAGGGAGCTGGTAGGAACGTTGGGTTGCTCGGCCAATGGCCAGGGTCAACGGCGGCAGTGGTGTATTCCGCAAATATGGCCGACTGTGAGGGCGGGCACAAGCCGGCTTGAGTAGGTTAAACGTTGAGTTTTATAAGGGACACCACGGGGTGACCAGCCCCTCCCCACCCAAGCCCCTCCAACACCCAGCCCCTCCCCACCCAGACTCACCCCTCCCCACCCTCGTACGGGTACCCGATTGCTGACCTTCTGGAATGAAGCCATGTTGCAGGCGCGGGTGGGTTGATTCTAGGAACTTGAATTGTGAGAAGGGACAAGACGTTGTGAAATGAGTGACAAACAGTTACTCACCAGTGACTCAGTACTCGTACTCGGCCGCACCAGGGTCACAAACAGGTACCCGTACCCGGCTGGATACGGGTAGCCGGGTATCGGGTAGGTTACGGGTATCGGGTACCCGATGGCGACCTCTGGTCAGGACTGTCCCCCTCTCCCCTCCCCCGGGAAATGTGACGACACCCTGTTGTGTGGCGTGCTGCAACCTTTTCTTGTTTAAATGACCCACGATGCTGTGGCACGTGCAGCTGTTCCCCGGCAGGCCGGCGGTGCGCAAGCTGCTGGAGACGCTGCACGAGTGGCTGGAGAAGCTGCCGTTCAAGCGGCTCCCGTACGACGCCGTGCGTGACGTCGTCAACAACGAGATGAAGGTGCGTGCTCTCGCGTGTCTCGCGTGTCCCGGGTTCCTGCAAGGATTTGCGAGCTCGGTCGGTCAACCCACGGCACCTGTGGGTCTGTCCCGTGACCTGCCAGCGGGTAACGGCCTTCCAGTATACGTAGCCTGACGCAGGTGCCGTGGTGACGTCACACCGCCACTTGGTGGCGAGTGGTGGTGGTTGTTGTTGTTATGATGCTCACTTTGACACCTCCTGGCTGATTGACTCAGCCAATCATCCCTCTGGGGTCGAAGCTTATGATTAAGGTCACCTTAGTGGGGATGTCAACATTGGGTTGGTTCTGTCTTACGGAGAGGACTCATCCTCGAGGAACGTGGAATTTCTGCCACTGGCTCTGCCCTGCCAGATTGTAAATGGGAGTTGAGCACCGATGCCTCATTGCGTGTTTCCATGAGCAAAAAACAAGTGGGCAGAGGCCCATCTTATGGATGCAGTGATGTTGCCACTCACCACTCGAGCCTCTCCACCACCACCTCTCACCAGTCTATACAACGTTGTGGGAAGCCATCCGGGATTCAACGGTTGCCCTCCTAGACTCTGCACAGACCCCCGCCCCGATGGCAAATGCCGACCTCTCCCCCCTCTGCCCCCCCCCGCTCCCCCCCCCACTCTATCACTCCCTGCCCCCCCCCCACCTGCTTCGCCCCTTCTCTGCACGCTTTTCCACCAGATCCCTGGAGTGTGGCTGCCCGAGGGGGTGCAGTGGGTAGGCTGCCAGGGCAGCCACCCCCACCTCCGTGGCTACCCCTGCTCAATGTGGACCCTCTTCCACGTGCTCACGGTGGAGGCCGCCAGGCTCCAAGACCAGCTGCCAGGTAACAGCAACAATAATAACAGTGTCAACTGGTCAAAGAAAATAGAAATATTCGTATTTTTCCAGGTTTAAGCCCACCGAGGCTACGTAGTTTTTTTTCAGAAGCCACCTGGCCACAAACGTGTGCCGTGCCGGCCATCACAGGCGCTACTCGCTATAACGGCACTTGCCCCAACGGTCTGTTCAGGCTACACGGTGGATCTTTGTCTTTGTTGCATGTCTGTGTGTTTCCGCGCGCGTCGCCGCAGAGCCGTGGGGCCCCGTGACGGTGCTGAGCGCCATGCGTGCGTACGTGCGCGAGTTCTTCGGCTGCCGGGAGTGCGCCGTGCACTTCGAGCTGATGGCGCGCGGCGTGGCGCGCTCCGTCAAGAGCTGGGACGAAGCCGTTGTCTGGCTGTGGGCTCGGCACAACCAGGCCAACCGCCGGCTGGCAGGTGCGACGAGATTGCGTTCACGTAGAGACACCTAAAGCTCACGATCATATTCTGGGGTTTTTTCGGTAAAGTCACGTAGGTAAAAAAATTAAATTAGTAAAATGAAAATACTTGATACAGCTGTCGGGCTGTGACGGTTCCACCTGAAGACGGAAGCTTGTGTTACCTCCGAAACGTCGTGATTTTTATTTTATTTTCATTTTACTAATTTTAATTTTTTTTTACCTACGTAACTTTACCGAAAAAACCCAAGAGTATGAATCCTTGCAGTCACGAAAGCTTCAAATCTAGCTCACGATCATCTTATTTTCTTCCTTGCTTGGCATTCTGGAATAGTTTTTTTCCCCCCCCAATCAAGTAGCGTTCTTGCCTTCCTCGTCTGCTTACTGCGCTCATCGCTGAGCTGGTGACATCCTCTCCTCGTCCACTCCACATTGCTTCATATTCCTGGCTCACCACCTCGAACCACCACTTTCTAGGCCTGCCTCTCGGCCTCCCGCCCTCCGCCCTGGTGCTGCTGTTTCCTTCAACGTTCATCGCAACGTGATTTTTCTCCCTCCTTATGACGTGCTCTAGGTTATCTCAATGTATCCACTCTGCATTCCGATGTGTATCACGTGATGAAATTTACGATGAATGCCTCCCCATCCATGCCATTTTTTCCCGATGTCATTCGGCTTTAAATTAGTTTAAAAAAAACACCCAGTGGGATAACCACGCGGACTGTGAAGTCCCGCGTACTGGCCACGGGCTCGGCCTACGCCGGCAGAAAAGCAACGAATGAGCAACTCGGCGCGGCGCGTGGTGCGTGGCGGGTGCCTTGCAGGCGCCAAGAGCGAGGACCCGCGCTTCCCCAAGGTGCAGTGGCCCCCGCCGTCGCTCTGCCCCGACTGCCACAGCACCCAGGACGAGGGGGAGCACGCGTGGGACAATTCGGCCGTGCTGCGGCACCTCGCCAAGCACTACGGCCGCGACAACATCTCCCCCCTCTACCAGCGATCGCCGCCGTCGTCGTCGTCGCGACCGCAGCAGTCGCACGGAGACGACCAAGAATGGCTGCAGCAGGTCAACGAGGCGGACGGCGTCTACCATCGCCGCAATCAAACTTCGCCGATCCGTGACGACGGCGACGACGACGTGAAGGAGGAGGTTGCCGGGCAGGGCCAAGCGGTGGCATCGGAGGAGGAAGCCGACGACCGGATCGACGCTGTTGGGCGGCACACCCAGGCGAGACCACCCCGGCTTCACGCGAGGGACCTGGGCTTGCGGGCCGAGGCGGGCCTGGCGGCCGTGGCGGTGGAGGGCGAGGGCAGGATGCAGACTCGCCGACAGCGGTGGGCGGCGATGATCGGGCTGGGCTTCTCGCGGGTGGACATCAGCCTGTGCATGCTGCTGTACTGCATGTCGGCCTCGTGCCTCCTCGGCATGTACGTGTTCGTGCACAGGCGGATGAAGGGCCGCAGGGGCAAGTGTGGGGGGGGCGGCCCGCGGGTCTGAGGGGCTCGCTGACCGGAGCCGGCGGTGGCGGCGGTGGCGGCGGTAGCGCCAAAACCGCCGCCGCCGCCACCGAACCCGAAACGTTCCCAACGCCAACCACAACCCCCACCCCCCATCGCCCTCTCACCTTCGCATCGTGTTTACGTGTATAAAATAACTGAGGGAGGAAATCAAAGTATTTTTTTAAAGTTACGTACACACAAAAAAAAGTAAGACTTTTAAACCACTGCGGCAAACCAAAACTTGCCTAAAAAAAACGACGAGTGGGTCGGCAACCAGTTGAATCGGCGTACAAAATGCGGAGAAGTCCAAACTCGCACGTACAAATACGTGGGTACAGCCAACTTAATTTTTTGCCAAAACGCTGCCGGATCAGGGCCTTGCTGGCACCGCACGGGCCGTGGGAATTGTTCGCCGATTGCCTCGCCACGCTTGTTGGCGCTCGTTGGTGCTGGTTATCGGCGAAGGCGGGGGGGGGAGCATAGAAACGGGTGCGTGTCGTGTACCACTACAGCGTACTTTTTCTGCACTGGCCAAAACGTAGCAGACTTAGGGGGTAGGTGGGTGGGGGAGGGGGGGCGTATTTTTTAAAGGTGACGACGTTTTTGATTTGTTCATCCCCCAGAAACAAAAAAACGATAATCAGTTTCCAGATTTGTAATCGTCACCATTGACCTTGCAGCAATTCTACTGTCTTTCTCGTTCCCGACGCCGGGAGAGAAATTAAGCGAGGGCGCACTTTCCAATAGCCGTGCGCGCGTGTAGCAGACGGATGGTTGTGTGCATGCCGATGGTTTTATTGTTACCCCCCCCCCCTTTGAGGGAAGTCCTTTAGTGTCGGCTAGTAGATCGGTTCCTATAGTTGAAAGTTGGTAGAATCCTGCAAATTTCTTTTAGGCCCCTCCCCCAAATGTAAGCCACTTGCGCCATCGTTGCTACGTCCCGAGATGGAGAATCGCCGTGCGTCACAACGGACCCCGCAGAAGGGGTTCTTTAAGAGAATCCTGAAAAAGAATCTTTAAATCCGCTACTTTAATCCTCTTCGCAGGCGGTTGCAACATTCCCACGATCTGCTATGAGATGGCCGAATGACGGTCAAATTAGTTTTAATCCTTCCAGCTGGAAATTATCCAAGTCAAACTTCGTGCGATTTGCATATTTTTTGTTTGAGTGTGCAGTCGCCGAGACCGCCGGGCTCGCTTTACTTGAGATTCTGATTGTTACCACAGGGCAGTGGCTGAAACCGAGATTTTAAAAACCCGGTGATCTCAGCGGCGGTGGCTCGGCGCGTTGACGACATGCGAGCCACCTTAACCGCCTCCGATCCTACTGATTCTTTTTTTTTAAGTGTGTGTGTGTGTGCGCGTCCGTGCGTGCGTACGCGCGTCGTTGTATGGAGAAATTACAACGAGCAGCTGTCAAAAGTGGCACGGCCCAAGGTGAAAAGGGAAAACGATGCCATGATTTTTTTTTTTTACGGTTCAACGGCCGTGCCAAGTTTAAATCGCTGGAGCGCATGCTCCAAAAGATAGATTGCCATACCACTGCCACACCTATTTCATCTCGACAGCTTCTTTTTAATCCGTATAAACCTGATGACGTCTAAGCATTATAGGCAAATATGGCAAATCCGACTTAATCGCGATTTCTTTGGCAGGAATGTCACGATGCTCTCCCAACAACGGGGCAAACCGTGTTTTTGGCCATTTCGTCAAAGTGTGAGCCCCCGAGCTTTTAAAAGAGAAAAAAAAAACCGATAAGCTACTTTTATTTTACCCAGTTAAGGCTTGGGAGTTTACGAACTCCGCAGGTGGCTCTCCCCATGCTGTAAGAACTTGAGCTTTTAATGGCAGCGATAGCATTGTGTAAAGCGAGATGGTACGCAAAGGGGATGAAGATACGTTGACAGATTTGACCATCGCCGGAAAGGATTGAAACGGCTCTATTTTGCACTCCACCAAACAAGCCAACAGTTACGAAAGGGGGCCTCAGCAGCAGCGGAGAAAGGTTCCGCCCCAGTGCGTTCCAGTCTCGGGTGACAACGAATCGAGAAACTGGGATACGTTGCCACTGCCGGGAAGTGGCTTAGTCAGCGATGGTTTTCTCCACTGGATTTTTCTCTCTCCCCGTTTGTCATTAATTTCACCTTCTGCACGTTGTCCCGCAACTCCGATTGTCATGGTTGGCTACGTACGGTGCGAAAGAATTTCAACATACACGCACCCGAGACTGGAAAGCCCCAAGGTCGTCCTTAAGGGCTGTATTCTCACTTGGTGATGGCTTGGCTCTGCCTTGGCCTCCTCAGTGCGGCTAAGCTGAGGCTTGAGCCACTCCATTACTGCTCAAAGTTGTTTCGGCCATGGCTCAGAGCTGGCTCAGAGCTGTCTCAGAGCTGTCTCAGAGCTGTCTCAGAGCTGTCTCAGAGCTGTCTCAGAGCTGTCTCAGAGCTGTCTCAGAGCTGTCTCAGAGCTGTCTCAGAGCTGTCTCAGAGCTGTCTCAGAGCTGTCTCAGAGCTGTCTCAGAGCTGTCTCAGAGCTGTCTCAGAGCTGTCTCAGAGCTGTCTCAGAGCTGTCTCAGAGCTGTCTCAGAGCTGTCTCAGAGCTGTCTCAGAGCTGTCTCAGAGCTGTCTCAGAGCTGTCTCAGAGCTGTCTCAGAGCTGTCTCAGAGCTGTCTCAGAGCTGTCTCAGAGCTGTCTCAGAGCTGTCTCAGAGCTGTCTCAGAGCTGGCTCAGAGCTGGCTCAGAGCTGGCTCAGAGCTGGCTCAGAGCTGGCTCAGAGCTGGCTCAGAGCTGGCTCAGAGCTGGCTCAGAGCTGGCTCAGAGCTGGCTCAGAGCTGGCTCAGAGCTGGCTCAGAGCTGGCTCAGAGCTGGCTCAGAGCTGGCTCAGAGCTGGCTCAGAGCTGGCTCAGAGCTGGCTCAGAGCTGGCTCAGAGCTGGCTCAGAGCTGGCTCAGAGCTGGCTCAGAGCTGGCTCAGAGCTGGCTCAGAGCTGGCTCAGAGCTGGCTCAGAGCTGGCTCAGGTTCGACGAGGGCTGCGAGCCGTGGCTCAATCGAGGCAGAGCCGAGCCTAAGCCGAGCCGCGTCTAACATTATAGGGATGCCTCGACTTAGGAACATTCGATTTACGAACAAACCTGTCCGTATGTCCAGTTGCAGCTGTTCGGACCGAGTCGTAAGTTCGACCAACGCACATTAGACGGCGGCGCTGGCGTATACAGCGGCAGAAGGTGAAGACACCAGTGGTATCTGCATCTGCAGAACGTGAACATATCAGTGGCATCTACAGGAGATTATACAACTTTTAAAGCCATGCCCCTTGTTTAGTGAACACGCCGTAACAACACGTTTGGAATCGGCGGGCGTAAATTTGGACATCGACTTGCGAACACGACCTCTGGAACCTATCTCCGTAAGTAGGTGAGTCCCTGGATGGGCCCCGAAGGTCTTCCCATCCGCGAGCCAGCAGCTGCCACCGCAGCCTTTCCTCTCACTCTACCGCTCGTCGCTTTGCAAAGGCATTTGGGGAATTAACCAATACTAATGTCACTTTTAAGCTTGTATTTTGAAAAGAAACCTCAACTCATACCACAGTACACCTGCGTGAGCGGTTAAAAGCCTGTCGGTCACAGTACATCCATCCAGCCATGGTGTGTATAAACTGCAGCAGGGTATTGTTTGATTATTACCATTATTTGGTATTTGACCTATGAATCCCCCCCCCCCTTAGGGTCACTACCTTTTGACGACATCAAAAGAATTAGTGCCAGAATGAGGTGGTAGTGCGAGTAATGAAGTTGGCTATCGATTATTTCGTGTTTTAATTGGCCACTGGATACTCATTTTTGTTAATTTGTAACCTGTTGCCACCACCACATCACTGCCTTCGTTGGATTTTAGAAGCCGAGACGAAATGAAACGTCGAATGGGGGGGGGGGGTGTTCGGGGGGGTGGTGTAATACAAAAGTAAAACTGTGAAAGAAACCCTGCAGATTTTAGTTTTACGTCCTTAAGACTACTAACCCGAGCATACGGTCACGTTAGAATAACATTTAGGCGCGTAAACGTTGCTAATTGTGTAGATTTTAGGCGATCAAAAAGTGTGTTTTGATTCATTTTTTTTTTATTCAAAAGGTATTGTAAACTTGCTAAGTTTTAATTTACTCCCGAAACCGTTGTAACATCTTGACCTCAATGCAGGCCCCGAGTAAATGGGGTGGGCTTGCCTGGAAGCTTCAGTCGTCCCCTTGGACAGAACTCGTCAAGGCTTTCAGGAGTTTCTAGGAATGCACATTTCATGCCATTTTTGCCAGAAGCATATTTTAAATGTTCGCGCCGTGACCTCTCGTTGTTTGTCCTTCCGATGTACTTTCAGCAAGCCGTCTTTGTGTGAACCTGTAATAAATTAAAAGGTGGGTGGAAAATGTCGAAATAAAACGTTTGTCTCCTCGTTTCGTATCGGGAACCCTATCAAGTTGACCTCAACGCCTTTGCTTCGTGCTTGTGCATACCGACACCTAATAAATAAAACTGAAACATCAGCTCCCCTCCCCTCTATCCATCCACATTCTCTGCAACCCTATAGGGAAGTGCAGCAAATTGTGGGAAACGTTTCCCTTGCACCGGCCCACCAGGATCTCAACGTCTCTCACTGCCACCGCCAGCCTCTGTCAGAGGTCGCAAACGGGTTTTGATTCCTTACCCGTACCCGGCCGCACCAAGGTCGCAAACGGATACCCGTACCCGGCCGGCCGGGTACGGGTATCGGGTACCTGATTGCGACCTCTGGGATGAAGCCATGTTGCAGGAGCGGGTGGGTTGATTCTAGGTAACTTGAATTGTGAGAAGAGACAAGACGTTGGGAAATGAGTGACAAACAGTTACTCACCAGTGACTCACGGTCTACCCGTACCGGGTACCCGATTGCGACCTCTGGCCTCGTGAAGTTGCGGAACCCAACCTTCAACGATGCAACTCAATCCCGTCGAAGCGTGGCAAGCCGAACGGGCGTTCAAGGAAACACGTTGCAAACGTCTCTGTGAGAGGCGCAGTTAGATCCCTCGATTCGATCTTCCTTGAAGCAATTTTTCTATTAAACTTTTTTATTTTATTTTAGCAGGTAAGGCCAGCGAACCTGGCCACAAAGTGACGGCTCAACGGAGATGGGCTCATCGCGTGGGAATGTATCGCAGCCAAACACTCTGAACGCATGTTTAAAAATGTGGAGAGAAAAATTAGAGAACCCAGATTGCAATCCATGGGGAGAGAGACACGCAAACTCCAAATATACAGCAGCAGGCGTCGGGGGTCTGGATCGAACCCACGACCCCCTGCACACCAGGCGAGGTAGTTAACTTCTCGCCACCGCATCCACTGCACACGCACACACACAAATACCTTGAATAGTCGCGCCTCGTTTCCCCGCTGATTTCTCACAATCTGTGTGTCAAGGCAAATTAGGTCCGAGCGTGCGATTTAAAAAAAAAAAATTCCCATGTTGACTGCTTTGTATACTCAAGGTGTAAATATTTACTGGGACCAAAGGTTGTCAAGCAGATAAAACATTTCGACATCGGGAAGACCACCATAGTCACGTGCCCACCTATCGTCCACCAACGTCCCGAAACAATTTCGATGTAAAGCTTTCGTGACTGCAGGGATTCATCTTCTTGGTTCTTTCGGTAAAGTCACGTAGAAGGGCTCAAAGTTGATGAATCCCTGCAGTCACGAAAGCTTTAAATCGAAATTTAACCGCCTCTACGGGGAGGGTTTCCACATAACTTTGAGCCCTTCTACGTGACTTTGCCGAAAGAACCAAGAAGATGAGTCCCGAAACAAATTAAGAGCACCTCCGATTAGCACGCTTGGCCACGTACGGTGCGAAAGAAGTCCAACACGTGCACAAAGCGAGAAACTAAGCCCCGCGCAAGTCGATGGAGGGGGGGGGGGTCTCTCTACCGATCTCCGAGTCTGGGCACAGTGTGTGATCGGGCTTTAATTTCAGCCGGGTCTGTCCGGGTCGGCAATCTGCGTTACTCGTCAAACGACCCCGGTGCACACCACATTCAGTACACACCGCTTCGATAGCGGCCGTGGGGTCAGCTCCGTCGCATTCCACCTACCCCAGTTGACCGGCGAATCGGGAGGACAAAAACATTTCCGATGGGGGGGCAGGGGCCCCATTGCAAACACAACGCGTGTACCCCCCCCCACCCTCCGCTGGACGCTAAATAAGAAACTGACAAAACGAATGATAGACACCAAAGCTGTTGAGTTCAGTCAGTTTTTTTTTTTATCGAACCCCAACCAAAACTGGTCGATCTCCTTGGGTCCCGGTTGCCTGCCCGGTGCAGACGTCGCTCAGCACCCCTTACCCCCCCCCCCCCTTCTGCGTCGACCACACGTCAACTCGCTCACGGTCAACCATCAACGTCACCCACCCACCACCTCTCTCCTTGAACCTTGGCGTCAGATTCTAAAGGCCAAGCAAGAGGTCGAACACGCAAGTCACGATTAGTAGATATTGTTGTTGTTGTTGTTTGTTTTGCCCAACTTTTTTTCTTTTTACCAAAGAAAGCCTCGCCGCAACACACTTTTTTTTTTTCCACTTGCACATCCGAGCCGAACCCGTGCAAAGCCTTCGCCATACCGGGTGGGTTTTACTACCGGCGGGTTGTCAAGCAGAGCCAGATGTTGACTACCTCGCCTGCTATGCAGGAGGTCGTGGATTTGATCCCGACCCTGACGCCTGCTGTATATTTAGAGATTGCAGTGTCTCTCTCACTTTCCCCGTGGTCGCGTGTATATTTCTCCGGGTCCTCCGTTTTCCCCTCCACATTTCAAATCAACGTCACGCGTTTAGAGCATTTGGCTGCTCTACATTCCCACGCGATAAGCCACTTCGTTGACCTATCGTTTGTGGCAGCCAGGTCACATTTGAAAAAAAGAGCTGCAGAGCTCAGTGTGGGTCTTATACCTGGTAACAACAAAAATACAACGTTTAGTTTAAACCCTTATATGCAGGGCCAGGTCATCATCAATTTGGTCACGTTGCGTCTACGTGCAACTCCACTCGTCCCGCCGTGGGAGATGATCGGCGGCACAGTTCCGGCTCGATTGTGCGGTGGGTAGAAAACGTCGTATCATCGGCTACTCGGGAGGTTCCCGGCTACATTGGGACGTTCTGTCAATTCGATTCGTGAAATGATTGGCTTATTGTGCGAGAGAAAAACCCAGAGGGAACCCCCCCCCCATCTGCACGTAGGAGAGGGTGACACTTCAAACACTGCCATCGTCAGGGCTGGCTGCACCTCACAAGCCCCGCGTGATAATTGTTTTTTTACCCTTCTATCTGGCAACAAAACTGACACCTTTTTACAAGGAGTCATGTTTACATAGACCACAATACCTGCAGTCATAATGCAAACAAAAAACATAACTCTTTTTGTTTGCATTATGGCTGCAGGTATTGTGGTCTATGTAAGCATGACTCCTTGTAAAAAAGGTGTCAG